CTCTCAGTAGGTACATGGCTAATCCGAGCCCTAAATATTGGGAAGTGTTAAAGTAGCTATTAAGGTACTTGAAGGGTACTGGTGATGTAGGTGTAAAGTTTAGTGCTAATAAAGAGAGGGTGAAATTGAAGGGTTTTGTAGATGCTGATTATGTGGGAGATAGGGATGGTAGGAAATCGACTCCCTCTTATGTGTTTACCTTATCTAATTCATGTGTTAGTTGGAAATCACAATTACAACACATTGTTGCACTATCCACTATAGAGTCCGAATATTGCTACCATTGAGGCAATTAAAGAAATTCTATGGTTTAGAGGTTTACTTCATGAACTATGTGTCTTGAATGATTATGTGGTAGTGTATTCTGATAGTCAGTCGTCTATACATTTATACAAGAACCCTGTTTTTCACGAGCGCAATCTAAACACTACACTTCATTAGAGATATAGCATCTCAAGAGGAGATAAGACTCGAAAAGGTCTACACACAATACATCATTTCTGATATGGGCACGAAAGTGCTACCACTAGTAAACTTTAGAAGTTGCAAGGATCTTCTAAACATTGGTACAGGTAAATGATTTTCAATTTTATCGATTTTCTGTTAGAGGTGTCGCTAATGAAAAATGTTTTCTTTTGCAAGTCATTTGATAACAAGATGGAAGTTGTTAGACATATTGTTGTCAAACGACCTCCCGACCGATGATGTAAATCGGTTATTAATTATCAATCAGCATTTACAATATGACTGAACGATATATCAATACCAAAATTGGAACGACCCGATCCAAGAAATGATTGGACCATTTGAAGCAACCAATTTTATTGTGTTGCTCATGGGCCATATTTTCTACCTACTTGGATGGCTAGTTATACTTGAAGCCTACTCTATTTTCTACTATGTGTTATTGGGCCATGACCCATTACCTAGACCTAACTTACCTTATTTGAGACTTGGCCCAATATTTATTCACTTGGTCTTGCACGCCACTTTAGTGAGAAACTAGACTTGGTGTCTTTCTTCTTCATCTCAGCCCGCTCTCTCTCGGCCCTCTTCTTCACTTGTCTTTTGCCGCCTCTCTTTGTGGTAATATCTTGGTGATATTTCTCATCCTTAGTGTTGGTCTCTAAGTGGCAAAGATCTAGCAACCATAAGTAGAACCTTTGTGGTATTGATTCGAGTTTCTTGGTTACTGAGCCTGTATTTCACCTTAGTGATTGATGATTACACTTCCTTACAATATCAAGTACATCTACTAGGAGTCGAATCAAATCTTACGAGATACATCTTTTACATGATAATTTTCTTGTCTCTTAGATAATTTTGACGCAACCATCGGCGTGGACTTCCAGGGAGATGCAAGAGACAGCCGCCTCAAGCCCAAAATCTACAAGGACCTAATACAATCTTTTCACACCTAAATATTTTTCATTTTCAATTTTAAAAAAAATAGAATTTCTATTTTACGCACATGTTAACCAATTAGAATCTCCGAGCATCTCATTTTTGTTTTTATTGATAAATTCTTGCAGTCTAAAATTTGAATTAGGCACCTTTTGCTCTTATTGAGTTTAGGTGTCACTATACAATCGAAAAATCTATCTTACAAGATTAATATTAAACAGAATGATGAGTGAGGAACTATGAATAATCCCATACCTGCAAGGCAAAGAGAAATGAAACATAAAACAAAATGCACACATAGAAACACACCTTTTATTGGTTTATCTCGATGCAAAAACTATCTCCACTCGTTAGTGCAGATATTCACTAAACATTTGCTTTGTGTAGCTTATTTGAAAATTATTTTTCTTCAACCACATGTTATCTCAATAAAATAATTATGCACCCCTTTTTTTAAACACATAATCCAACCAAAAAAAAAAGTTCACTTCAAATAAAGTCTCTAACAAACTCTAAAATTTAAGAAATTTATGATGGGTATAACACAGCTCCATGTCTTTTGTCTCTCACACATAGAAAAACAACCCGAGAAATTCATTTATAAAGTATAGAAGCCATGTCAATCTATGGTAGAAGACATAAATGACCAATATATTTAGGCATGTCTTTAGCTCCATTTCATGCTACTTAGCCCCTTCTTAATAGCCATTTTTCTATTAAGATTGAGTTTTTCAATAGTAACTTTTTGGAGATTGTGTAGTTAAAAAAAGGAAAATATTTTGGGTTTACATGAAAAATATTTTGTTGTGAAATTATGTGATTGAAAATGAGTATGATTGAAACAGAGTTTTGAAAGAATGGTTTTCAAGCAGGGGCTTAGTTTGTGTCAAGCCCTATGAAAAATAAATTATCATATTCTTTTTCACAAACCAAAATTCCTGTGTGATATTAGACAAATTCAACCCCAGAATCCCAGATTAAGCATTCTTGTCCAAGCCGACACTTAATTGAACATCGTTGTCAAGTTTGATAGGATTTACTAATTTGGAACTAAGCATTGGAGATGTTTTATTCGTTTAGAAAACATAATACTATAATCCTCGAATAAATTTTTTGCCTTAAACATATTAGTTAAGAGCATGTTTGGTATCGCTTAAAATTCAATTAAAATCAATTTTTTGACCGTTATTTTATTATTTCAGCCGTCATTTTTAAATTCTTCTCTCACAGGTAGGACCCATTTTATCTCTAACGGTCAAAAAATCAATTAACAAAATCCCTACTAAACAAGCACTAAACCTGAAATTTGTGAATGAGATCTATAAGTAGCGTTTTAAATTTGTGGGAGAATTATAACTACAAGCAAAAATTAGCCTTATAACATATAAATATTTGCTGGAAGAAATAAGCATGAGAATTTGAACTGTCCAATTAATCAACCAATGAAGGTTATATTAACTAATTTGTTTCAATTAAACTCAAGAACATACCAAACATCTCCACTATAGTAGTTTAATGACTCTTCACATTTGTTTTTTTTTCTTCTTTTAAATTGACCCATGAAATTAATGACTACGTAAGGAATGGTTTATTAAGAGATGGGAATGCATGGAACTGAAACTTCTTTAATTACTCAAGGGATTCCATCACCTCCTGTTCCACCACTAGCTCCTCCACCAAATCCACTACCAGATCCTCCACCCAATCCGCCTCCACCACTGCCTCCGCCACCAAAACCCCCTCCTTCTCCTTGAGCGCCATTTTTTATCCCACCACCAAATCCTCCTCCAAAACCACAACCATCCCCTGTTCCTCCACCTCCACCAAATCCTCCACCTCCTCCTTCAGAACCACTTCCAAACCCACCACCCAATCCTCCTCCAAAACTAGAACCACCCTCAGATCCTTCACCTCCACCTCCACCAAACCCTCCACCTCTCCCTTGAGCACCATTTCCAAACCCACCACCTAATCCTCCTCCAGAACCAGAACCTCCTTCCGTTCCTCCACCTCCACCGAAACCTCCACCACTACCTCTACCAAGCCCTCCACCTCCTAAATCCCAATGATCAAAGAAGAATTTTCTCTCATCGTTGAAAGAACCCTCTATTCCAACAAGCTTTCTTGCATTGGCTGCGCAAATAAGAACACCAAGAAGAAGAAAGAGAACAAAATTGGAACTCATCTCAATTTGCAAGTAAAAGAGAGCTATTGAATCTTGATTATGAGAATGTAGGACACCTCTAAGGGTTTATATAATGCTACTGATTCGTACCATGAGCCACGTTTGAAATGTTAATGTAGCTAATTGTTTCTTTGAAAAGGAAACACTTCACTAAACCTTTGTTACTCTGATTATCAATTAAATGTTTTGTGCTTGAATTAATGAGTGAGTTAGTGAGGGCCTCAGTAACCCGGCAGTTATTACATTTGTAGTGATTCATTTATGTTTTTGGTATTAATTAGTGCAATATTATATGTTTACTCATATAATTGATCTGTGACAATCAAAATGTACAGGTGAGTTTCTCACGTTAACATTCGTACATTAAATTCTGTGACTTGTGGCATAAGCTATGCAGACATATGACTTGTGACCTGTGACCCATATTGTGACCGACAACCTTGACCAAAGAATACAGGTCAAAAAATGTGACTGCAATCTAATTACCTATGCACGCGTGCACAAAGTGATGTGATTCTGTGACATGTGTACATAGTCATTTGGCATGTGACGTGTGACCCCTGCACATAATACTGCGACCTGAGTCTATGACCCATATCAAGATAACTGTGACTTGTGTACATGATATTGTGACCTGATATATGTGACACATCTCCAAAAATATTTTACCTATGTACATAATACTGTAACATGTGATATGTGACCCATTTCACAAGCAAATGTGACCTGTGCACAAAACATAGTGTCATGTGAGCTGTGACCTATGTCATAGATATTTGTGACCTGCTTCACAAACATCTACGACATGTGTACATAACATAGTCACTTTGATTTGTAACCCATTTCACAAATATCTGTGACCTGTGTACATAATATAGTGACCTTTGATCTGTGACCCATTTCACAAACATCTATGACCTGTGCAAATACTCATGTGTTTTGCGACCTGTGTCTACAACCTTGTGTCCAATGCACATGAACATATAATAAATCAACACTATTACCAAAGCCATTCACCACACATCTGTAACCCATTTCACAAAACATCTGTGACCTGTGTACATAACATAGTGAACTATCATATATATCATTGTCATAACCATAGGCAAGTTGTTTTGTTTTCATTAATACACTTCAACAATAAGCGATTTGAAGTTACATGAACAAAATAAACTCCATCCATTGCGAAAACATAAACCACCAAAAAGTATTCTAACCACTATACAAACTTTCTACAGTCACTCTACGACAATGCTATCTCCCTTCGACTGTACCAACTGAGTTGGCTTCTTGATATCCTTGTGCTTAAACAATCGGGTGGCAATATCCAACCTAGCTCAGCTCGCATCAAAATTCATCGGCATGGACTTAATGTCATCACGTAGCATGTACTCTACGTACTTAATGACAAAGATGCCACAATCATGACTGCACAACAAATTCAAGAGGTAACATATGAGAGATGGCAAAATGAATGAAATTTTGGAAATAAAAAATAAGTCACAAAAAGAAAAAACAAGTCACGAAGTTGTACCCATTTTGTTGATGCGGAGTGTCATCTATAAGCAACACCTTCATCACAATTGGATCTGTACCCGAATTAACAGCGATTTTATTCCTGATGCCCAAAACAAACAACAAATGCGGGATAACTCTGACAAAGGGGTCAACCCCGACCAAAACCATTTTTTCACGATGGGTCTTGTAGCTTGAGTTGTATACGTACATCTTATGATTTTTTATATTAAGTCTACAGAGCATCCAAAGTGCGCGATTGATTGACAAAATTAACAAAAATACATAATCAACTTAGGACCAAGGGCAATTGAATTCTAAACGTCTACCGATAGCAACATCAACAATGTAGTTATCCGTCATTTTCACATTTGGGTCTTTCTGAAACTGGAAAAATATGTTGTTTTATATTAGCCTTGAACAAACAATCAGTTGTGGTAGCACACAATCTTTCATCTTGACTTTTCAGTGCAAACTATAACAGATAATGAAAACAGACGTCCATATGCTGTAAAATGTGACAGAAAGTTAAAAAGCATGGAAAGATTAACTTATGAATGATGTAATTAGGCACACGTTTAATGTACCTCACATAGAAGACTGATGACCTGTGAAAACCATAATATTGTAACCTCAGATCTATGACCCATTTCAAATAACTATGACCTGTGCATATAATGTTGTGACCTAAGATCTGTGACCCAATTCGAAACATCTTTGACCTGTGTGCATAATATTGTGACCTGTGTTACATTTCCCGAACTTCAGTAACCTGTGCATACACTGATGAGATCTGTGACCCCATTTTAGTAATCTGTGACCTCTGTAGGTATGATATGTGACCCCATTTCAGTGATCTGTGACCTCTGTGTGTGTGTGACCTGTGTACATAATATTGTGACTTTGTGATATGTGACCAATTGCAAGGATCATACCATGCTACTCAATGAAGATTTCGAATCTATAAGTTGATGCCACCAGGTTTTCGACCCCATGGAAATTGAACCGAGTAAAAAAGGTGGATGAATGACATCATCAGCATCATTAAACTTCTTTCTGAAATGGGAAGATAGCAACTAAATATAAATTAAAACCCCAGATTACCCAACTTTATAGATTAGAGCACATGACATCAAATGTGCGTACTTGTTCCTTAGTTTGTAACCTCTATTAAACTAGTTTGTAACCTCTATTAAACCAGTTTTGAAATGCAACAACATCAGCCTCGTCCGCTTTCTTGTCATGCTTGTCGAAAACAATAGTATCATCGGAATGCTTAATTTGTTTTCCAGCACTAGTAACATATGGGGATTGTAGTATTCGTGTGGGTCTAAGGGCTCTCTTAATTGACAAACCTGATGTCAGTGCGGAAGGAGGAGATCCTTGCATGCATGTTGGAAAACAATGAATGCATTGTTTGAATAAATATATTTGTGCAGACAATATGTCATGTGATCACATAGTTGTGACATGTAGATAAATATTTGTGACATATATCGTATACTCAAGCATCTAATAATATCACGTGTAAAGATGAAAGGTGATATGCGCGCAGTGCCACATTTTCAAGTCAATATGTAAGGTGTTTGTGACCCATAAATGTATGCAATGCGATATGAAGTACTTTGTCCTCATGTAAGGTGTTTGTGATATGAAGTACTTGGTCCTCATAAATGCACAGTCCTTCACCACACCAGCTATAATGGCATCAACCTCATTAGAAATGATTGGTGTTGAAGCAACACCCAAGTCGAAAGACGGGGTCGGAGGAAAGGACAGATATTCAATTTTGTCAGCTGGGTCCATCTTGCCCTTGCCTTTCCTATCGATATTTTGTTCAACGTCTGTGACCTGTTGTAACATAAATATTAATAGACAACTTAAGGTAATGACAGCAAAAAAGAATTTCGATTATAGAATTACATATCTTCTCCTGTTATGGTGCATCTCCAACGCTGTGAGCTTCAATCTTCTCAGTTGCTTTTGCTAAAATTGCATCCATCGTACTCGATATTAAAGCAGTAACAAAATCGGACAAGAATGTTATGCTCAACCGTATTTCCATCATGTCCAATCGAATTTCACCTTGGACACGGAAAAGTTGATCAATCTGACTATTCTTATCTCGTTTTAAGTCTAATAGTTATGACTTTAGATCCTTGAGATGCACTGTTAACTCTTTATTATTACACTGGAGTTTGGTCATCTGTTCGTGTAACTCCTCTCTCAACTTGTCAAACACCTGTAATTCAATAATTGCAAAATGGGTATGTCACATGGTTGTAATTTGTGACCAGTGTAAATGTATAAGACATATGTCTTAGTCCGTGACTTGTGACACAGTAATGTGAGATAGAAACATATTTCTTAGTAAACTGTAGACATTAGTCCGTGACCTTATTTGGCAAATCTGTGACCTATACACATAGGTCAACTTCTCGTTGAAATATGTGCGATCTGACAATATAACACATTGTTATGTGACCTGCAATTGTGACATAATATTCGAAATTGTGACTACAGAAATAAATATACTAGATAACGTACAGCTGGTTGTGGTTCATCATCTGCACGGGTAGCCTACGGCGAGGTTGAAGTATGGATGTCATGCCCCTCTGGCTCTATAGGATAATATTCCCGCGTTGCATGCTCCTCATCTGGTGGGTGGAAATGGAAAGGTGTCTTTTTCCTTCTCGGTAGTGTATCAACAAAATCTTCATCGTCGTCATCATCTTCAACATCACTCGAATGCCCTTTATATCCATGTGTTATCATAATAATTAGAACATTTTGAGTTTCAACGAAGAATTTTCAATTTTTTCCAGGAATATCTTTTGATCTTTTTCAATATAATATCCGGTTAACATAAGTACAATTTGTTATTCATTGATGTCACGTTTGTTGTGGACAATATTGAAAATTTATAACGAAGAAAAACAAAGTAAAATCTTGTCCATTGTCCTCTGAAACAACTTAATTTAAATCATGTTCATATTTTTTGAAGCATGAGGCAGAAAAGATATGAACTGTGTTGGACATTTTAATTATCTTTAGGATGACTATATATAAGCTAATTTCAATTTCATGAAGAAGAAAAACTACACCCTCAAAATACAAGATAATGGGATAGAGAATGAATTACATCCCACGTAAAGTGCTTCTTTATAGTCACAAGGTTGACTTCTTTGGCTTTTGTTTCTAGAGTGTAATAAGAGGAGATTTCAGGGTCATTGAAGTCGTCACTCTCCAAAAACATTTTTTTTATCTCAGGGATGTCATCGTCTTTAAATATGACCGAATGCTTGCCTTTATCAACTATATTCACTTTGATCGTATGTCCACCTTTTCCACTTTCTCAATCTTGGCAATTGATAAGTGTATTTTATACACTTAATTGAGACGTTAAAATTGATTATTTGCTCGTGAATTGGATGAAACATGGCTTAATCCTATGTATATACAGTTTGTAGGTAACAATCGATGAAAGAGAAGGGAATAATGGAAATAAGCGAGAAAAAGGTCTCAATTGCATCAAATACAAAGTTCGGCGACTAAAATGCAATAATTCAAATGTTGGGTAAGATTGCAAAATGAAGATTCAAGATTGCAAAAACTCAATTGGACAAAAAAGATAAGCAAAAGAAGTTAAGAAAGACGAAACAAAGACCTTAGAAAAAGTTTAAGGGTGGCCCTCAAAGTGTTGAAGCACCCCAAGCAATAAGGCGCACGCCCTAGTTTATACTAGGCATTCCTCAGTGTAAAATGGGAGAAAATCTCTCTTTCCTCATTTTATTTTGGTAAGCAATTTTTCCAGCATCCTATAAAATAAGACAACACGTCCATAACAAAGGGAGTCAAATTTTGAGAGATGACAGAGAGAATTTATACCAAAGAACGAAGAATTCATCATTGGATCTAGATTTAAAGGCTTTAATTGAAGAGTTCCAGATTTTCTTCATAGCTTAAAGTTTCGAGTGATGGCTTTATTTTATTTTATTTGTAATTCCTACATTAATATGCTAGGCTAAACATCTTTGTATTGGATGGATGATAAAACTCTTTGATTCTTAATTTTTAATTTGAGACTTTATGTTTTTAACTTAATTCTTGCATTAAAATTCCATCACCATGCATAATTACATTATTTTAATATCTTCGCACCATTAGGGCAATAATTGCTTATTCGTACTGTTGAAAAATTCACGTCACTTAGAACACTATTTATGGAATACACCGGCAATAAATATTAGAAATAGTATTTATGGCGTGTGCGATCTTGTGTAATAATCCTAAACATCATACATGTTTGTCATATGAATTCGGACTAGGAACATGATTGTTTTGTGATGATCATGAGTTTATTATATTTTGGAAAAGAATAGTAAATAAAAGTGAAATTATTGATCATCATAATTACATGAATTGAGTTTATTGTCACAAGATGAAAATTGGAACTAAGAGTTGATTAGTGGAGTATGATATCCAATAGGTTCATCCACATTTGATTTTAAACCAATTTTTATTGCTTTCGTAGTTATAAAATGTAGTTAGATACAAACCAACCATCTTTTATTCCATATGGGATGATAACTCTCTCATCACAATTATTACTATACAACAAAGCCGTATGCTTGCGAAATTTTTACGAACAAGTTTTTGGTGTCGTTATCGAGAAATAATAGTGTTTATTTTAATTATTAGATAGTTTAGAATCTAATTTTTATTTTTCTTTATTTCTAGGCTATTAGTACATTGCTTAATTTTCTTTTGTTTTAACTCTTTTCAGGTGAACTTGGTTTATGCAAGCTCTTGGCGAGCCTGATCTGGCACCAATAGATCACGAAATCGAAAGAATATTCAGAAATCACAAAAGAGAACGACGTCAAGCAGGGAGAATGGTGGATAATCAAAATCAAGTTTAAGTTCAGAAGCAACTACCACAACTAAATCGACAGAGAATTATCCAGAATGAAGCTCCTATTTTAGTTAGGGATTATCTAAATCCAATTCCTACACCAATACAACCCGCCATAGGATATCCTCTCTTTGGACAGCCTGACTTCCACCTCAGATCAAATGTCATAAATTTGCTTCAAAATCATCAAGACATCAGGTTTTTTTAAAGCCACGAAGAATCCACATGAACATATTTTAGTTTTTATCATATTATTTGAAGTAATCAATCATGTAGGGATATTATGGGCATTTCAAATGCTATTATTTCCTCATACCTTGAAAGATGTTGCTAGAGAATGGTTCATTGTTTTATCTCTAGGAAGCATACAATCATGGAATGGTTTGGTTCAAAAATTCATCATGAAATTCTTCTCACCTTCGTGAGTTCACCAAATCAGGAATGAAATCCATTTTTAAGCAGAAAGATTTTGAGAGCTATCCTGAAGCATGAGAGATGTTCAAGAATTTATTTAGGAAATGCCCTAACCTTGACATTCCTAAGTAGGCTCAACAGTATCTCTTCTATAAGGGATTACACCAAGAGTTTAGAAATATGAAAGATACTTTAGCAGGAAGAACAGTGATGAAACTCGATGTCGATGAGGCCAATGAATTGTATGAAAGGATAGTCGAAAATCAATCGATGTGGCCAACCAATAGGAAAGTTCCAAGGAAAAGAGTATGAGTGTACAATGTGGATGCAGTGACAGCACTGGCTGCACAAATGGAAGTTCTTACAATGAAAATAAATAATTCATTTCCGTCAATTAACATGGTAACCAATCGCCACTTGTTTGCGAATGTTGTATACTACTACATGTTGCCTTTTAGCATTCACACATATTACTCAGCTTGAAGAACTCATCTACTCCAACACTTATAATTTGAGGTGGAGGAACCATATAACTTTTCATGGTCTAACAATTAAGGATGAGGACAGAGACAAGGATATGGAGAAAACAATCAGAATAGACAATCATGCTTCCAACAGCAAAAACAATAGCAAGTGAGGAAGTCGTTATTGGAATATTTCCTATCTCAGTACATTACTAAGACTAAGACCAATTTTCATAATCAACAGGCCTTGATCAAGAACTTGGAACAGCAGGTAGGACAAATAGCATCCGCATTGTTTATGAAAAACACGGGCAATAAATATTAGATTAGGGAAAGGGCTCTAATAGATGTACAAAAGGGTTGGTTGATATTGAGGTTCGGTGATAAGGAACTGACAATCAATGTGTTCAGAGCCTTCAGATTTCAGAACGAACTAGATTCTTGCATGCAGATTATTATAATAAAGGAATCAGTGTCAGAGACATTCAGATTTGATCATCCTCATGAACCTCTTGAGGCTTGTTTAGTACATTCTCATGATTTTCCAAGAGAAAAGAAGGAAGCAGAAGAACGTGCACGTTATATGGCCGTCATACCACCAATCTTCAAGTAACCACATTTGGAGCTCAATAAAGGTCCCATAAAACCTTTGCTATCTATGTAGCAAACTCCAACTTTTGAACTCAAACAGCTACCCACTCACCTTTGATATGTGTATTTGCGATACAATAATTCAGTTTCGATAATTATCTTGAATATCGATATAGAATTAGAGGAAGAGCAGTTATTGAGAGTGCTTCAAGATCACAAGACAGCAATATGATGGACTATCCCGAATATTAAAGGGATCAGCCATTCTTTTCACAAGCACAAGGTACAGATAGAAAATGATTACAGGGCTTTAGTTGAGCATCAATTTAGATCAAATCCGACTATATAAGAAGTGGTAAGAAAAGTGGTATTAAAGCTTTTGGACGTGAGAATCGTTTACCCCATATCAGACAGCCGTTGGGTCAATCCAGTACAGGTCGTGTTGAAAAAAGTGGAAATTACAATAGTTAGGCATGGGCGTGGGTCAGTTCGATTCGATTTTAAAGAGAACCAAACTGAACCAAAAATGTTCAAGTATTTAGTAAATGGAACTGTCGGATCCAAATATAATTATAAAACCTGTCGGGTTCGGGTTCGGTTCCGTACTATAATTAATTTTTTTTAACATTTATAACAACACTATATACATACAACTAATGATACATTCAATTGTAGTTTTACAAACTAAAATAGTCCAATTTAATAACATATAAATAACAAGTTGTCCAACAAGATTAATTCACTAACGCATACAAATACCAAAAAGTAGATACTAATACGAAATCTTCGATAATCCATTCAATGGTTCCTTTGCTTCAAACTTTAAGTCTACATGAAAAATGAAATATAAATTAGAAGTTCTAGAGAAAAAATATTTTAAAGTATTGTTAATACTTACCAATTATTTGATTTATCCATCAATTGCTTGAGTTGTCATACTCACTACTAAGAAACTCTACAAGAAAAATTTGAAAAAACACAATTAATAAACATAAATAAATTAAAAATTGTTCAACTAATAAGATATAATAAGAAAAATTATAACATATATTTTATTATCTGTCACAACGCCCTCATAGAACTCCGTCTCTTCAATGCAAACTCGATCTTGGGAAACTCTCAAAAGTCTAGATTCTCCCCTTAGTCAATTTTGTGCACAAATCAAGGCCTCAACTTTTTTAGGAGTTAAAGAACTCCTAAATGGATCGAGAATATGCCCTCCAGTACTAAATGATGACTCAGAAGCAACTGTAGATATAGGAATGACAGGAACATCCCTTGCAACCTCAGATAAAATTTCAAATATTGATTTATTGATCTTCCACCAATTTAAAATGTCAAAATTTTCATCACTAGCATCTTCAATGGGTTCCATTAGATATCATTGTACCTCATCTTTTCTAGAAAAATTCATTTTGGTAGTTTTCAATTTCTTGTACCCAAAATCAAAATTGCAATCATCCCAGTCGTCATCATCATCATTCGAACCCTCCAACAAAGTGATTCCATCATTAGATTCATCGCCCCCACTTCCACTTCCACTTCCACTAGGTCCATTTTTTGAATGATGTCATCCCTTATGTTGGTTATACAAAGCATACAATAATTTCATGAC